GCAAGTAAAAAAGTGACACTTGGTAATAACAACATTAGCTTTAGTATCGCAACCACATTATTCTGAACAGACCTATACTTTACAGAACCAACCAGATTCTTTAAAATATATGGCGGTAGTTTTTTTTAAAACAGCTGTCTTTTATCTGAATGACAAGAAACTAAACATTGTCTACTTTTAATCTTTGATGAAACTTTGGTAAAAATTTCAGGCCGATAGCTCACGTGACTCGTGGTTGTGAGCAAAAGTCTGGGTCAAAATTGAAATGTTTTTGTTGAATAACTTTGCACATGTGGCTTATATTGAGACCAAATTTGACACCTAATTGTACCAAACTTGAAGAACATCCAAATTAAGTATGTTTTTTTATCAGATAGCTTTTGTTGTGATCGTTGTGAAGAAGAAAAAATATAGGAAGAAATTAAATCAAAATTAGAGAATTTATATCTCGTGTGTTTGTCAATGGATTGTCTTGAAATTTGGTATATAAAGTAAGGGAGCACTTCCATTGAAAATATGGAATAGTTTGGATTACCACAGTCTGAGCTTACAGAAAATGGAAAATTGCTGAACTATCACTCCTGTTAGTAACACACAATTTGTTATGCGGGTTGTTTTGGGTGCATGACACACTACTACGTGTATTGATACAGCAGTTAAATTTAACTATATTTTTTTATCCCAATGAAGTGAGTCATAACCTTTAACCTATGCAGGTAGAAAAGTGTACACACAGCCTTTAACAACAGGGATGGTAGTGTATAGTTTATTTTTTGGGGGGGGGATATTGAATTTCTCTTGTTTTTGGCAGCCTGATAAAACACCAGTGAAGGAAAGGGTGGTACCATTCCTGACACATGGTGTTGAGATGATGTCTACCAATTAGTCCATAAAATAATTGAAGTACACATAAATGTTGAGCATAACTTCCCTGTAAAATGTTTCAATCTGATTATGTTGATTATTTAGCTCTTGAGTTGACTTCTTGCATAGATTCAATGGGCATGTAAAAACAGCTGTAAAATAAATAAAACTTTATTAAGAAAAACAGACAAAAGTATTTTCAGCCACTCTGTGCAACCATTACCAGTTGTCTTGCATTTCCATTGAATTTGGAATTTTTGTATACTTTGGAAGTGAAAAAAGTAAGTTGACACGGATGGGTCAGATACATTAGTAAAAATAAACATAGCATATTCATTGCTATAAGAAACAAAATAGTCTACTTTGATGTACTTATTAAGAACTTCTGATTAAAATTAAGCTAACCATATAGATCAGAACTAAAATTATTTGAAAAAATAAATTAATGATAACAATACTGTATAAGTTTATTAGAAATATTAATAAAACAGAAAACTAAAACATCCAATGATTGGAATATGGTGGGTTATTAAGTTGAGCATCTTTACTCTTTAACTATTTTTGGCCTTTGGACAAAACTTGTAATGGTTTCATGAATTACAAAGATTTGATTTAAAAAAAATGTCGTATAGTCTGAAATATGTGATAAAAATACACTCATGTAACATAAGGTTTTAACTAACATGTTCATTCATAAAGTAATGGCATAATGGTATTATCAGATCCTTTACATTTGTTTTCTCTATTACTTTGGTAGGTGGCGTAAGTTAAAGAGTTTGTAACAGATTTTGAAACAAGTACACTTTAGTTATGTTTTTGAGAAACATAACTGTTATAATAAGCAAAAACTTTTTTGATTTACATAATCATAAAGTTTAAGCAAAGAATTTTCATATACATATACATGTATTTGTTTGCCTAAAACATAACCTTCTGAACAAAGAGAAACTTTTTAGTAATGGTAAAAAATAGAACTACTTCTCTGTAAAAGGATTATTTACATGTTTTGCTATAAAAACTATGTTTAAAAAAACCTCTAAAACTTTTTTTTTCAGTAAAACAGCATACTTGGAAGGTCTAGAAGTTGATCAGTATGTTTGGGCTATTCTGACAAACCTCACTAATTCTGATATAGATGAAGTAACAGTGGATGCTACTGCTAGTTGGAAACCTGTCGCTCCCAAACTAGAGCATGATCAAGGTATAACTCTTTTGAAATGAAGGTTTATTATAGCTTTGTAAAAAAATGTTTAAATTAGGAAAGAATATATATATATATATATATATATTTAATATTGTGTGTTTGAAGACTTTAAAGTATGATAAAAATTCAGGTTTTTAAGCAATTTTACAGCATTTCATCAAACATATTTTTAGTGAATTCAAACATTTTGTTTAGAAATAATAACAGTCCTAACTTAAAATCAGATGTATCAAAATTTTAATATTATAGCTGAAAAACATTACTTCTTGTAATAAATCAAAAATAGGGGATGCACTTTATGCTTTAAAAATATTAAATATTTTGAGAAATAAAATATTTCACACAGGTTTTAAATTATGAGCATTGTATAGTAGATGTAGTGCTGCAACTTTGAATATATGTTTGGGAAGATTTAATATTTCATTATATGACATTAAAGAACTTCTGAAGATATAGCATTTCTGAAAAAAAAAGTTTCTTGTTTAAAACTTTATGACTTATAAATGGTGGAATCTCCGAAAAATATTATTACTTATTTTTGATAAGTTAATTTACTTTTAGATAGCTAAGGAATTAGAGGTCAACCTCTGGCTGTGTCTTGTCCTTTTGGTACTTTATGTTTGTATAACCTTGACTTTTATTGCTACATAGCAAGATATTTGCTTAAAGTTTTAGCACTCAAGGAAAAATTAGACTTACTCTTCTTTACTGAACAGATCCTTGCATTGCTCAGAAGAAGATTAAAGCCATGTCTCCTGGTAGCATGACAATGCCAACGACAAGTACATGGGAAATGGGACAAGCTTTATCACCCTTTGCTGCTATGCCCCCACCAGATATGCAGTGTAAGCTTACCCTTCCTGAAATGTCACTCTAAGATTGTGTAGTTGAAGGAGTTGGCTAAGAAAGCCTCAAACTAGCATAATGGAATCACATTATCAAAATTTGGTATTGCAGGTGTTACTAAACCAAGACTATTTTCTTACCAATGCTATTTGGAGAGGTTACAAGATACATTTCAACTGTTTTTCAATGTCATTAAATATAAGATTATAGTTTGATTATCTAATTATAAAAACATGAACGTTAACTGTTATATGTTTTTGATTATGAATTCAGAAGATGAAGACTACTCTTCTTAGAGAATATAATGGCTTTAAAATTTGTGTAGATAAGTGTTAGTCACTAAGTATGATAATTGATTTTATCTCATTGTGCAAAAAAAGTGTTTTGACTATCTTATAATAGTAACTTGTTTTGTTAAAGTCTGAAAAAATTGGAATTTCAATAATAATTCAATACATAACATTAGGTGTTATAGCTTGTTTATCTAAAATTTTGCATTTTGAGTGCGTTACTGTTTCCCTGAGCCATAATTTAAAACATTTTAATATTTTAAAGACACTGTCAGGTAATTTTCAAAATTGTTACAGCTGAGATAGCAATACAAGAATTTATAGTGCTTAGTGATATGATTGTTTCATTTTACAACATTGTCTTTAAAACTTTCTTCAGATGAAATGAAATTCATTTCATAAATCATAGAACATGTAACATGAAGAAAATGAAGCCATTTACATGAAAATATTTCTTTCTTAAATAGTCTAAATTCACTTATATTAATAATACTTTACTGTTTTGCTTCAAACTTGACCTTTGACCCTATATTTCAATTTGTATTGCTGAGATATTTTGGTACATCATGAATTACTGCATATAAGTTTTTCTGTTAAAAACTAATTCAAACACTCAAAACTGTAGAATTGGCATTATGGTAAATGATGAGCAAATTCTGGAATTTTTTTTACTTTTTTTCAGTAACAGATTTAATTTTTTTTGCCTTTCCACAAACATTACTGCAAAAACTCACAACATTCAAATAGAATCGTAATCTGCATGAAGTTGTCTTTTAATTTAAGAGTGATTAAACATTGCTGAAATAACTTTTTATAACCTCTGTGTATTTGCATATGCAAAAAATATTGTTTTATGTAAAACAGCTAAATCTCTGGACAAAACTTAAATGGTTTGGCATTTTGTTTCTGTTGACTACATCGATCTGAAATTAGTTTAAAACATTATTTTCTTTTTATATCAATGAGATACTAATTGAATACTACTTTAATATTGACTGTTGGTCATTGATCTTACCAGTTCTCTTTTGCTTTTTTAAACATTTGTGACCAAGCATTTTATGTTCCCAAGAACTTGGGAAATTTGATGAAATGTCCAGAATTTTTTATTTTGGGTAGTTTATTGCATATTTTTATCAAAGAAAATTTCTAAACATCTTTGGATTCAGTATGAAAAACTTATCAAAACACCTTCATATAACTCCCAGGAATAGAAATAGTGGCCGCACCAAGTATTCTCCTATGGTAAACAAGGAGTTAATTGACTAAATAGAATAAGAGATTTTTTTTTCCCCTAAACCCTTTCTATACGGGTCACAGGTG